AAGCGGTTTGGCTGAAGAACTTCATCGGTGATCTCGGAGTAGTTCTGACCATTCAGGAGCCAATGGAATTTCTTGTGATAATGAAGCATTAATGTAACTTTTCATGACTTTTTCCTGATTGTTTTTCCTTGCAAGTTTTTCGAGGTTTCATTTTTGGCACACATCAAGGGGGATTTTTGTAAAGATCAATCCTCGGGCGCTTCTCACCCTTAATGGGTTTAATAATCATTTTTTGATTATAAAAGGGGGGAGAATGAAGAGTGGGTATTCGAAGCTTCGGGTATTCATTTGCGGATTTGAAGACCGATATCATTTTGAGGGGGAGTTTGGTCTTGATCGTGTGAGCTCGTTGGATATTGAAGCCAGGACATCCAATCCTAACTTTGAGGGGGAGAATGTTAGTGTAACATCCTGTTATTTTCTACTTGTAAAGTCAACCCTAGTCAACCAAAGTCAAACTTGGGTCAACTAAAATCCCCTTTATTGTTTGGATTTCTACTAAGGTTAGAATAATACTTTTTACATGTTGAAAACCTTAGAATATTTGTGGTAGAATTTAGAAGGAAAACGCTTGAAAAACCGAGAAACTTCGCATCCTCTTTCCTTCTTTCTTTCTTCTCTTCGGATCACAAACATGACCGCAAACCTCGCATGGCCGTGAACTGTTTGCTGTCTTCGGGCCGTGAACAGTGAACCGCCTTCGGACCGTGAACCGAATCCGTGATCATGCTTCGGGCCGCATACGAGGTTCACGGCCGTGAACCACTTCGGACCATGAACCCCTTCCATATATATATATATATATATATATATATATATATATATATATATATATATATATATATATATATATATATATATATATATATATATATATATATATATATATATATATATATATATATATATATATTTCGACTGATTTAATTCATTTCTACACTTTCAAACGAAAATCCAACCCTTTTCTCTCAAGTATCATCAGCCAAGAACATCCTCTCTCCTCAAGAACATGCTAAACTTATCCTTTCTCATCATATTCATGCGATAATCACTAGTTCTTCATAGGATCTAACAGGTATCATTTCTTAATCTTGTTATCATTTCAAAAACATCCTTCAATCTTCTTATACTAGACTGAAACCCGTTAATTTCACTAGTTTTCACGAAGAACACATGAAGAACACGAAGAACACGCGACCGAAAACCTTTGAATCTTCTTAGAAACTTGCTTAGGACCTTCAGGTGTTCTTCATTCATCAAGAACATGGGCCGTGAACACCCATCTGGGCCGTGAACCCTTCTTGAACCGTGAACCCTTCTTAGGTCGTGAACACATATCAACCTTCCATTTTTTGATTCTAACACTTCTTTGGTAAGTGTTTCTTACACCATAGACTGTTTCCTATACACCTTTATGATTATGAACACTAAATGTATACATATTTATATCATAATATGCTAAATAGGACTCGTTTGTGCTTCAGGATTTCACTCGAGAAACTTGCCATCCTAAATCAAAACTTCAATCAAATCACTCACGAAAGGTGAGTTCATACCCCTACATTTTTATGATTTTTAACTGTTTTAGGGGGGAATACCAGTTGAACACAATTAAAATTGTGTTAATATCTAAAATACTATTAAATGTTTTTAAAGTTTTTAAATTTGTTATAATTATTAAAAATTACATATTTATATATGTGTAAATTATACAATTTGGATTCAAAAGATTTTAGAATATATAATTTGACTCCATTTCCTGTTCCTTGTTTGGTTGTGAGCTTGGAGTAAAGTTATATAATCGAAGGTCTAATTAATCACAATTATATAAATATTACATTTATATAAATATAAAAGGGTTTTCAAACTGTTTGGTAGTATTTGGTACAAACAGTGAACTTCCTGGAATAACAATATTACCGATTCTTACCACAGTTAAACTATAATAGGTATAGTTTAAAGAACTCATTCGTCGGTACTTAACGGAAAACGAGTAGAAAACAGTTTTCAGAAAACAACCATATAAACTACATCTTATATAGATTATGAAACTGACCTACTGAGTATTTATTACATAGTAACTTGTTATTATTCTATACATAATCATCAATATAGCATTTGTGAGGCAACCTTCATGTACTTTTATAAGTATCCCAAAAGTCCTAAAATTACAACCAGAGTCTCCTTGAGGGAGAGCGCGACACTTGTGTATAGATCTATACGGGACTGACAATCCCGCACCAGAGTTGCTTGCAATAGCTAGGTCGGCAGACATGTGGTGACAAATGTCCTACCGATTGTGACGCCTGAAGAACGTCGTGTTCAGGCGATCCTTGGTCACCAAGTATGGTTATGATAACTCACATTTTGATATTGAATAAAATGATTAGTGTATGATTAAGTAAAACTTCACATAGTTTTATCTTTATAAAACTATAATACAATATTTTACCAGTTTAAATACGAAAATACTATTTTCGTATTGGAAAACGCCTTTTCTTTATGGTTTTATGTAAACTATAATACAGTATACCACTTAAGAACCAGAAACTTTCACCCCTTTTGCTTACCGTATAATACATTAGAAAATATAGGATTTTCTAGGAAAAATGTATTTACTTTATTAAAGAACGAGAAAACGGATTTGAGTTATAAACATTCTTATGAACTCACCAACTTAATTGTTGACACTTTTCCAAAACTACTTGTATTCTCAGGGAAACAGTAATACAAGTACACCACCGCTTTTGAGAAGATGGAGCTCTTTATACTTATGTCTTTTGAACTTATACTTTTGGTGTTATGAACATTATGTTTTGAGCACAATTGTCAAACTTATAACTTTGTAAATACAATGGTTGTTGTTGTACTTTGATTACTATTATGCATTGTTGTGATACTATACATGAAGTCCTCCACCCCCGAATGTTTCCGTCGTTCTGGATTGGGGGTGTGACAGTTAGGGTGCAAAGTTCTCCTTGGATGTGGCTTACCCTCTTGTATGTGTAAATGGGTTGAGTCTTTCCTATAATTAGGAAGTAAATGACTCCCATTATGTAATGTTCATTTGGAGAGATTAGTTTTAGAGAGAGAAATAGAAAACCCATTTGTACTCTTTCTAACAAACTAATGAGAGCTTGAAACAAGATTTATTTACTCCTTGTGTTTATGACTTGTATGATGATTCACTAGATCTTTCATATTCCGCAATTGTCATCATAATCAACACCAATACAATTGGTATCAAAGCTCTTAATTCTCACTATAGTGTTTACTTGAATTATTAACAAAGTCCTTTTGGGTTGCCCTCAAACCTGGTAATTGAATAGGATGACTTTTAGAGAGAGACTGATTTATTGATTTTTTATATTATTAATAAAAAACAATAAATGAATGAATTATTTGGAATTAATTAAGAATTAATCATAAATTATTTGGAATTAATTGGATTAATTAATAATACAAGGATCTAAGATGGAATTGTTTAATAGTTGAACAAAAGGGTTCCAGAACCTTCCCCATAGAGGTGGATGGTTTTGGGGTGATTCTAGGGTTCTAGAATATCCCTTGGAGATGATTAGGAAACCAGATAATTACGTGATTTAAGATATTATTATTTTAATCAAGTAAGGGTTATCCATGGTTTCCCAATCAGCTATATATGGGGACCATTAGCCTCTAAATTTTGGCAATCACTCCAATAGCTAAGAGAATAACCAAAATTTTGTCCCTCCCCTCTCTTTTCTTCAAGTTTCCTACTTGCTAGGTTTGGTTGTGAACCATCAGAGGCACGATATTTCTGGTGCTAGCTTCCAAGAGCTTTTCAAGAAGGATTGCTTGATTGTTTACTACAACAATCAAAAGGTATGTAATCTTCTTCTATGAATTTTGAAATTAGCTAGGGATATAGGGTTCTTGTTGTTAAATAGAATGTTACTTCAATAGTGTTATGACTAGATTAAATAGGTTGCATGTACCCTTAAGTGTATAAGGATTTATCTGCGTTAATGCATGTAAAACCCACCATGGTTTTCAGCCAGAGGACTGAGTGCTTATACCCTTGGACAAAGCCTCCTTTCTGGAACCCCCGCTGGGAAAGGTCGGAGTCTTTATCAGGACCTTTGATGCCGGCTATCGGCTTCGGACTATTGACTTTCTCGACGAGGTGCTTCGCAAAAATGGAGTCATTGTTTACGACCTTACCCCTAATGCTGTAAACAAGGTTATCGATTTCGAGATGTTTTTTTTTTATATCAAGGTTTTATTCCAAGCCTCTTGTTGTTCAAGAATTTCTTTCGCTTTTCTATTGTCGATGATAAATTTACCTTCTAGGCCCGGAAGAATGTTCATGTCCTTGTGCTTGGTGGGAAGAGCAGCCCGAAGAACTGGAAAAATCATTGGTTTTAGGTGGACAGTTCTCGAGTTGGAGCACCCTATTTTCGGACTAAAACAACTTCTGATAGCACACCCAAGCTACTTTTCCGGGATCAAGAAACTGTTCATCTTCTGTAAAGGTTTATTGTTGCTCTCGAGGAATTCCCTGAGTACATTCTTGTTGGAGCAGGGATGAGCATTTGGCGCCATCAAGATATTCCTGAGTTTATTGTCATCAATGGAGGTAAGTTTTTCCGTTTCTTTCTTTTGAATTTCCTATTTTTGTTCTCATTCCTTTTCCCTTCCTTCACCCCCCCTTTTTTAGAGATAAAAGACGATGTTTATCTTTCAGGGGAGGAGCGGGTGCTTTCTTTCTCTGATGTGCTTGGGAAGAATTCAAAGGAGACTTGCAGTTTCATCCAATCGCTCTACGCGATAGCCTTCCCCCTCCTAGCCAGAAATTTGCTTAAGGATTCACTACTCCTACTATTTCGGTGCCTTCGCAACTGACTCCTACGGGCGAAACGCCTTCGTTTGGCAATCTACCCGGCGTACCTCTCGTTGTACTTCCTCCTCCCGTCCCATCCAAGGGATTGGAGCATGTAGAAGATAACAAAGAATGGATTATGGCGGGCGCGACGTCCCGTGTGACGAGGAAGAGAGGGTTTTTGAGTATTGCTGCTCTTTCTGACGCGACGAAAAGGAAAACCATTTGTGACCGCTGCCGCCGACGCAAACTTGCCACCAACTTCGTCGCCACTTTGCTGCCTTCTAGTGAAGAGGTAATATGTATCCTTTTTTACGACATACACCATTCCGAAGGGATAAAATGGGAGTCTAAACAGCCCATTATGAACAAGGATTCCATCGAAGATGGCCCGACAGGGGCACTGCTGGTCCACCGAGGCAAATCTCCTACTGCTTTGGAGACATCTGACTATGATGATCTTATTTCCAGTTTCGAAGGCAAGAATATTTCTTCCAACAATCTTTTCATCCCTAAATGGAACCTCACTGATGAATCCTGTCTCGCCCAACAAGAGGTTTCCATGAGTTCTCACGTCCTGTTTTTCCTTAGGGAACTGTTTCTGAGATGGAAGCCTTTACTGATGATCAAACAATTGATTTCATGGAATTTGCTTCTACTCAAATTTCCTTTTTCACCGCATTCGGAGGCTTAAAAGTGTGGCTGTCAAGCTTCATGCGAATGAGAGGGGTCTTAAACAACGCATTGCTTCTTTGGAATCTTTGGTGGAGTCTTCTCGCTAATAATTGGAGTTGCTGGCTAGCGAGAAAATAACCCTTGAGGAGCGTTGTGCTCATGTGGACGCGAAGATCGATGACACCGTCCAACAGAATGATGCCTTGAGCATCCGAGTGGAGAGTTTGGAGAGAAAATTGTTAGATAAAGAAAAATTGTTGCCCGATCATGAGGCGAAGCTGTCCCGCCTTGAGAATAACCTGAAATGACTTGTCAATTATGGAGTTGTTAGGATTGTTGAATAAGTTATCGAACTTCTAGATTTTTTACAGGGTGTGGGCCGCATCAATAATATGTTCTTTACTGTTGGTGAGGAGTCTAGTAGAGAGATGTTGCATAAGGTGGGGGTTGATGGAATGTTTGATCCTAACGCTGCTAGTTCCACCTTGAGCCATTCAGGGGGGGATGGTTGATGCGATTGAATCGTTCATCTCTTGTGATTATGCTTCCATGAAGAAGTTGGGCTCCTGGATATCGACAACGTTCGCCGACTGTGTGCGGATGACGATTATGAAGGAGAAGGCCCTAGCAGCAATGCCAAGATCACTAGCTTGGATGGAAAAGCTGGTAAATGAATGATCCTTCTTACTTTTGGGGTTTGTCCCTGTTTTTCTGCCCTAAATGGGCGTGAATAAATATTTTGCTCTTTTTTTAGCCCTGTGTGGATTTGGCTTGCCAGGTTTTGGCGTGTAACAGAACTATCACTTCCTTCCCTTATTTTTCTATGTGTGCTAAGATATGTGTTTGTTTAATATTTTTCTCTTTATTTTGTATACTTATCTCTTGCTGGATTAATGTTCTAAACCTTTGTATAATTGGGTTAGGTCCCTAACCGCCATATAGAGCTGAGTGTTCGTGCCTCTTTTTTTATAAAGGTTACAATCCTTTTAGTTAAGACAGGGCTACACTACTTGCCCGTATGTGGATTTAGGTGTTTGAACCATACAACTCTTTATTGGAAAAGGTTTTAATTCTTTAAGCCAAAGCAAGACTAAACTGTTTGCTATTATATGGAGTTGGGTATTTAAACCATGAAACTCTTTCTTGGGAAAGGTTGTAATCCTTTAAGCTAAAACAAGACTAAAATGCTTGCTATTACACGAAGTTGGGTATTTGAACCATGCAACTCTTTCTTGGCAAAGGTTGTAATCCTTTAAACCAAAGCAAGAGTAAGCTGCTTGCTATTATACGACATTGGGTATTTCAACCATGCAAATCTTTCTTGATAAAGGTTGTAATCCTTTAAGCCAAAGCAAGACTAAGCTGCTTGTTGTTATACGAAGTTGGGTATTTGAACCATGCAAATCTTTCTTGGAAAAGGTTTCAATCCTTTAAGCCAAAGCAAGGCTAAACTACTTGCTATTATACGGAGTTGGATATTTGAACCATTCAAATCTTTCTTGGAAAAGGTTGTAATCCTTTGAACCAAAATAGTAATGGAAAAGGAGAGTTATAATATGAGTAAAACAATTACCTAGGGTGATCATCCCTAGGCATTTTTGACTTATTACTAATCAATTTATTACAAAGGAAAAACGACACTATTGGCTCTTTGGCTTCTTCACATCGTTTCTCCTCCCCCTTTCTCTTTTTTTCTTATACAAAAACGTTCCTCAAGTGCTGGATGTGCCCTGTTATTGGTATGGCTCGTCCCTCCATTGTTACCAATTCGTAGGAACCGTTACGGTGGGCGGTGTTTATCATGTATGGGCCTCCCCATGTTGGACCTAACTTTCCCCCTGGCTCGCTGTGGCTGACCTCATTCTCCCTTAGGACAAAGTCTCCAACTTTCATGTCTCGCCCTTGCATTCGTTTGTTATAGTAGTTTTCCACATGAAACTTATACGCTGCTTGGTTCAATTGGGCTTTCTCTCGTTTTTCGTCAAGTAGTTCCAAATTGTGGCGCAAGTCTTTATCTAATGCTTTCTAGCCAAACCCTATTGTGTATATTGACCCCATGAGTAACTCGGGCGGTAACACTGCTTTTGTGTTGTAAACAAGATTGAAAGGTGTCTCTTTTGTGCTGGTTCGTGGTGTCATTCTATAGGACGCCCAGTTACCATTGGCTTTTCTCAAGCGTTTCTTGATCCCATTCACTAGCGTCTTGTTGGACACTTCTGTCTACCCATTCGCCTGCGAGTGGGCTACTGAGGTAAAGCGTTGCTGTCTTGACACCATCCTCGAAATTGATTCTTAGCAAAATGTAACCCCTTGTCGCTGATCAAGGTTTTAGGGGTTCCGAAGCGTGTCAATATATTTTTCCACCTAAACTTAATCATGGCTCTCCCTGTAATGTTCGTGGCGGGCTTCGCCTCGATCCACTTTGTAAAATTGTCAACAACAACCACTAGAAACTTGATCCTTCCCGGGGCTTCTGGGAATGGTCCTACAATATCGATACCCCACTGGTGGAACGGCCAGGGGATAAAAATATTTGTCAGTGATGTGGATGGCAACCATTGCGTTGGAGAAAAGGTTTGACATTCTACACATTTCCTCGTTATTTCTTCCGCTTCTTTGTGCATGGTTGGCTAGTAGAAGCCCATGTGTAATACCTTGGCAGTTAAGGTCCTTTCCCCTTCATGTGCCCTTATTTCTCCTTTGGGTGCTTCTGTTATGATATCGACTCCCTCCAGTTATGTTATGCAACGTAACCATGACATTAGATCTAGATATCCTCTTTTGTATAACTGCTCATTTTTAATGATAAACTGGGAAGCTTTGATTTTTACTTTACGTGATTCATTCGGCAACAAGTTGTGCAACATATAATCATATAAGGGAGTTATCCAGCCTTTGTTTTCTGTCGTGATGGTGTCCACTTTTGTCTCGTCTATGCTTCTTGTTTTTAATATTTCCACCAACACTTTTTTGGATAAGTAGTTGTACGTTGTAGCTACCAATTTCCTAAGTGCATCTGCTCTCTTGTTCTCACTTCTTTTGACTTGCTCTATCTTCAAAGTGTCAAAATATACCATCATCTCGTTTACTGTTGTCATGTATTTCTTCATTCTAGGATTCTTAGTATTGTATACTTCGTTTATTTGGTCAGTGACTAACATTGAGTCAGTCCTAACTTTAAACTTTTTTGCTCCCACTCTACGTGCCAATTTTAATCCGGCTAGAAACGCTTCGTACTCAGCTTTGTTGTTTATAGTTTCAAGTTCGAACCATAACACATAGGTTATCTCATTTCCTTCAGGGTCGGTAAGTATGAGGCCCGCTCCAGAACCTTCCCTGCTGGCTCACCATCGGTGTACAACGTCCATGCTGAATTATTCTCCATGGCCTCTAATATGTCATCTTGTTGCATGGTGGTTATGTTACACTCTTTGTCTGGAACCTCTGTTAAGAAGTCTTCCAAGGCATGTCCTTTTATACTTGTTCTGGAGTGATATTCTATGTCTGGCAGCATAAACTAATGTCAGTATAACTTTTCCGATCGTGGGGTAATTTAATTCTCCCTCTTGCAGTGCTCTGCTGAAAAAGTATATGGGAAGTTGTTTGCTCTATCTTTCCACTGTAAGCACCACTGATATCTCGTCCGTTGTTGTGGATAGATACATCGACAAGATTTCTCCTGGAATAGGGCTTGCCAATGTCAGGACTTGTCGGAGGGATTTTTTCAGTTCTTGCAAAGCATGTTTAGCCTCGCGAGTCCAGCTAAAGTTACGCATGTCGATGCATCCTTTCAACGTCTGGAGTAGCGGCATCACTTTATCCGCCGACCGTGCTATGAACCACCCCAGAGCCATGATTTTTCCATTCAGGGCATACATCTCCTTTAAACTCCATGGCTCTGTCGTTTCTAGCAGGTCAGTGACCTTTTATGGATTTGGTTGGAATCCCTCTCTTGTTATGTAGTATCCTAATAACTTTCCCTCTCGTACTTCCAATGTGCATTTTATTGGGTTTAATTTCATTTGTGCCTTCTTTAGGGTTTGGAGGCTTTCTTCAATGTCTTGTAGTAACTTTTGGTCATTTTGGCTTTTGATGACCATGTCATCAACGTATACCTCTACATTTCTTCCAATCTGATCTTTAAATACTTTGTCGATAAGTCGTTGGTAGCAAAATGTTATTTGATCATTGTAAAACTCTGTCTTTTCCTCGTCTTCTTTTTTCATCAACACTTGTTGATAGCCTTTATATGCATCGAGAAAACACTTCCATTTGAACACTTGCAATGACTCCACTTGCTGGTCTATCTCCGGCAGTGGGTAGGAGTGCTTGGGACAGGCTTTGTTCAAGTATTAATTATCTATGCATATCTGCTAGCTTCCATCACTTTTTCTAACAATAACTGGATTGGCTATCCATACACCAGCTTTGCTACTTCCAAGTTAATTGCTTTGTTCCTCTCGCTCGTCTGGCCTCACTTTTTCTGTTTTATCGGGCCTGCTCCTGGCTGTAAGTTAAGCCCGTTTTTTATTACCTTTCTATCTATCCCTACCATATCTGCTGGTTTCCATGCGAATACATGTTTGTATTTTTTCAACAGAATCACCAACTTTCCCCTTATATCCGGAGGAAGCTCTGTGCCAATTCGTATTTTCTGTTCCGAAAAACTATCGTTGACCGCTTTTTTTCCCTTTAGAGTCTCGTTGCACTTTCACTTTCCCCCTGGCTATCTCTGTTCCCTCCATGATTTGGTAGCACCGGTGCCTCGAACGAGTCTCTGTCATCACTATTGTTGGCTCATCTGGTGTATTAAATTTAACTAGCCCATGTATTGTCGATGATATGGCTCTGAAGCGTAATAGGGCTGTTCTCCCCAAGATGGTGTTATGCTCTTTCATGTGGCGTACTGCCACGAATTCTATCAGGACCGTCTTTTTCCTCCTATCATCTTGGCAGTATAAGGATAAGGGTAGTTGTATTATTCCCAGCGGCCGTGTGCTGTGTCCCGTAAATCCTGTC